GAAATAAAAAAAGACAACCCAGTTATTTAAAAAATAGACAAGACTTGAACAGGCAGTTCACTAAATAAAAGTGGAAAAGGAAACACAGTGGGGAGTAGCCAGGATGACTCAGGAAAACCCTGAGCTCACCTCCTTCCATGAGCACACCAAAATTACAACTATTTACAGAGCAACTATTGATGAGAAAAACCAAAAGACTAGCAGAAAAGATCTTCTACAGCTAAAGCTATAAAGAAGGAACCACAATGAGATGCGTTAGAGGGATGGAGACATGGTATAGTCAAGACCCACACCCCCTGGTGCATGACCCACAAACAGGAGGATATTTACAATTGCAGAGGTTCTCCCCAAAGAGCAAGGGTTTTGAGCTCCACATCAGGCTCCCCAGCCCAGGGGTCCTGCACTGGGAAGATAGGCCCCCACAATGTTTGGCTTTGAAGGCTAGCATGGCTTACTTTCAGGAGACCCGGAGGGCTGTGGGATAATAGACTCCACTCTTAAAGGGTGCATACAAAACTTCACACACTTTGGGATCCAGGGCAGAAGCAATAATCTGAAAGGAGCCTGGGTCAGATGTACCCTTGCAGAGCCTCCCGGAGAGGCAGGAGGCAATGGAAGCTCATCCCAGGGACACAGACAGTGGTGGCAGCCATTTTGGGGAGCTTGTTCCACTACGAGGACATTGGTGCTGGCAAGCTCTAATTTGGAATGCCATTTTATGAGCTCTGGAACCCGGCCCTGCCCACCAGGAAAAATGTCAGTAGTAAAGGCAAATATACAGGAAAGGCAGTAAGTCAGCCATATATAAAGCTAGTAGGAAGGTTAAAAGACAAAAGTATAAAATCATCTATATCTGTAATAAGTAGTTAAGGGATACACAAAACAATAATGTAAAATATGACTTCCAAAACAGTAAACATGAAGGGTGGGTAAAAGTGCAGGGCTGTTAAGATACATTTGAACTTAAGAGATCAGCAATTTAAAATAATCATATATACGTATATATGTGTGTGTATATATATATGTATATATATATGGCTATGTGTAGTGTAGGGAACATAGTCAATAACTATGTAATATCCTTGTATGGTGACAGATGGTAACTAGACATTGCGGTGATCATTAAACAATGTATAGAAATATCGAATCGCTATGTTGTGTAACAGGAACTAACATAGTGTTGTACGTCAATTATACTTCAAAAACAAACAAACAAACAAACTCATAAAAAAGAGATCAGATTTGTGGTTACCAGAGGTAGGGATGCGGGGAGGGGCAATTGAATGAAGGTGGTCAAAAGGTACACACTCCCAGTTATAGATAAATGATTACTAGGGATGTAATGTACAACATGATAAACATAATTAACACTGCTGTATGCTACATGTGAAAGTTGAGAGAATAAATTCTAAGAGTTCTCATCACAAGAAATAAATTTTTTTCTATTTCTTTAATTTTATATCTATATAAGATGATGAACATTCACTAAATTTATTGTGTTAATCATTTCATGATGTATGCAAGTCAAATCTGTACACCTTAAACTTATACCATGCTGTATGTCAACTATATCTCAATAAAACTGGAAAAAAAGACAACACAGTTGGCCAATGAATACATCAAAAAAGTGTTCAATCTTACCAGTACTCAGGGAAGTAACAAGTAAAAACGTAATAATACCCCATTACATACCAAAACACAGTTGGCAAATTTTCAAGTCTGACAATGTCAAATTTGGCAAGCATGTAGAGCAAGAGGAATCTCATGTTCTCACATACAGCTGGTAAGAGAATAAATTAAGACACACTCTTTGGAAAAGCTTGGCTTTATCTATTAGAATGGAAAATACCCCCTACCGATGATCTAACAATTCCACTAATGTATAAATACTCAAGAGGAATCCATGTTCATGATACTAGGACACTATATGACAATGGTTATAGCAGCATTGTTCATGACACCAAAACAACCAAACAAACATACAAACAAAAAACCGGGAAACTATCTAAATGTCCATCCATAGCTGACAAATGGAATCAACTAACTACAACTACATGCAAGGACACAGATGAACCCCATGACATAAGCAAAAAAACAAAACAAAACGTATAGTATATATAACGTCCAAAACAGGCAAAACTATATTATTAGGGATTCATTTATAAGTGGAAAACGATAAAGAACAGTAAGGATACAGTTACGGTAAAAGTCAGCTTGATGGTTACCTTTGGAGGTGGGAAGATTATGATGAGGAGAGGCAAACGGTAGGCTTTAGAGTGCTAATAATGTTCTTAACCTCGGTGGAGTTATACAAGAGAATGTATAATTTATAAATTTATAATCATTTCATAAATTTATAATCATTTATTAGGCTGTACATATAATTTTATATTGCTAATACATTTATATGGCAATTCAAATCATTAAGTTAACACAGAAATTTAAAAATTTTGCAGACGTCATTATTATTATTCCATGTGTTCCTCTAAATTTGACAGCCCCCTTTGAAATTAGTTTGTTGCCAATGTGATTATTTCTGGCTAACAGGCTATTAGCAGAAGTCATATGTGTCCCTTCCGGTCTGAAGCACTTACAGTCATGAGTTCTCCATTCTTCCTCTTTCCCTGCTGTGGCACACCCTGAATCTGCATGTTGAAATGGTAAAGCCACAAAATGTAAGCCAACTGGATTCCTGGATCCCAGCATGAAAGGGGGTTGTTCTACAAAACTGCTGGACAGTCAGAGGGATTTGCATGAATGAGAAATAAACTTCATGTTTAAAGCCATTAAGAGTTTAGGATTTAAATGTCTCTGCAGCATACCGTAGCCTAATTGACTAATACAAGCGGATTAAGAGCAAATTAGATAAAAAATAAACAGAGCTAAAAATATTAAACTATATGCTCCTCAGAATTTTCTTTTTAAAGTGAACTGTGAAATAGAGGTACAGTGGCATGGAAATAAAATGAGAAGGTCTAGAACATGTCTAATTACAGCTCCAGAAGAAAATTCTCCACAGACAATAGAGGAGAGGTATAACTGCTATATATCATATTTCAAAGTTGGTATAAGAATAAATCCTAAGAACTCTCATTACAAGGAAAACACCATTTTTTTCTTTCTCTTTTCTTCTGTATCTGTATGAGATGATGGATGTCAACTAAACTTATTAATCATTTCACAATATATGTAAGTCAAATCGTTACTCTGTACATCTTAAATTTATATAGTGCTGTATGTCAAGTATATCTCAATAAAAATGGAAAAAAATTCAATGTCAAGTTCTCATTCCTCATCCATTATGACTACTCAGTGGTATTTAGTACAGGTGATCCTTGAAATACTTCTTTACTTGACTCCCAGGACACCATAATCTACTCCTCTGATCATTCCTTCTAAATCTATTTTGTAAATTTCTCCTCCTATCACCAATCTCTTCATGTTGGAGTGATCAGTGGCTTAGATCTTTGACCTTTATTCTTCTTCCTTTACACTCACACACGTGGTGATGTCATCCAATCTTGGGCCTTTAAATATCTATATTCTGACACCTCAAAGTTACATATCTAAGATTTTCTCCCCCAATCCTGTTACACCCACAGCCTTGTACATCCTAGTATATAGCTAAAGCCAAATTCTGGACCCATCCTTGACCCCTTTCTTTCCTCTCACAACCCATAGATGGATGATCTGGAAATCTGTTTGGCTCTACCTTCAAAATATTTGGAGAGTAACCACTACCCAACATCTTTGGTGTCCCTACTCTCAAGCGAACCACTTTATCTATCATCTGAAATATGACAATGGCCTCTAAACAGATCTTGAGCTACTGTTGGCCCTCTAGAGACCATTCCCACCCCAGCAGCCCCAGAGGTTCTTTTAAAACTTACAGCCAATCATGCCATTCCTTTTCACAAAATCTAAGTGGCTCCCCATCTCACTCAGAGTAAAAACCAAAATGCATCTAATAGCCTAAAAGACTTCACACGAGCTGATTCCAGTACCTTTTTATCCTTCTTTCCTCCTAGGTTCCATGTTGCTCATCCAGCCATACTGAGGTCCTTGCTGTCCCTCAAACACACCAAGCCCCTTCTTCCCCTTAGGCTATGCACAGACGGTATCTCTAGCTGGAATGCTCCTCCCCCAGAGAACCATATGACTAAATTTGTCACTTCCTTAGTCTTTGCTTAAATGCTACTATCTCAATGAAGCCTACCCAGACCACCCAATATAAAACTGCAGAAAAAAACAAGAACAGTAATAACTTTAAATGACATCTGCACCCCCATGTTCATTGCAGCATTATTTACAACAGCCAAGACATGGAAACAACCTAAGTGTCCATCAACAGATGAAAAGATAAAGAAGTTTATCTTTATAAAGAAGTGGCATATATATACAATGGAATATTATTCAGCCATAGAAAAATAACGAAATCTTGCCTTTAGCAACAGCACGGATGGGCCCTGAGGGCATCATGCTAAGTGAAACACGTCAGAGAAAGACAAATACTGTTATGATATCATTTACACGTGGAATATTTTAAAAACAACAAAGAAATAAACAAAAAAAAGTCATAGATACAGAGAACAGATTGGTGGTTGCCAGAGGCTGAGGGTCTGGGGGGGGGCGGTGAGATGGGTGAAAGTCATCAAAAGGTACAAACTTCTACATTATAAAATAAATGTCATGAGGATGTAAAGTACAGCATGGTGTCTACAGTTAAATAATCCTATATTATATATTTAAAAGTTGCTAAAAGAATAGGTCTTAAAAGTTCTTACCACATACCAAAAAACCTGTAACTATGTTTGGTGATGGATGTTAACTAATGTGGTGATCAGGTCACAATATATACATATATCAAATCATTCTATTGTACACCTGAAACTAATATAATGTTGTATGTCAATTATATCTCAATTTAAAAAAATAAAGTAAGTTAATTGAATGAGGCATTGTTAGCAAAGCATAGTTAGCACTGCCCCAGAGACGCTCACCACTGCGTTGTTGTCATACAGCTCCTCCACTACCACTAAAGGTAGGGACCCCATCAACTCCTCTGGTCTCCATAAAGCACCAAGTCATTTAACAGCAGCATCTGGTTCCAGGTGGGGAAGAGGGTCTTGGAAATGACCTGGAAGGCAGAGCTAAATAAATAAATACATAAAATTGCAAACCCTCATCTATCTCTCTAAATAACTCTTTACCCTGCTCTACTGTTTTCTTTTCACATAGTATTTATCCCCTTGTAAAATATTGTGTAATTTACTTATTTATTACATCTACTGTTTCTCATCTCCCCACCCAGAATGTAACCTTCATAAATGTTTGTTTCAACCAGACCCCGAAATAAAGATATGAATGCAAGTAATTCATCTGAAAGACAATACCAGAAAGCACAGTGAGGGGTTGCGAAGTGAGAGAGGAAAGTGAAGAAAGTCAATATAGTATGTGATACTGAGCAGGTTACCACTGGAAAAACAGGCTCCATCCCACCCAGTTCAGAAAGACTGGGTGAGGTGTGGTGCAGAATCATCCCATATCCCTGAGCACTAACTCTACAGTATTTCTAGACTTTCTACATGGCCAAGCTTGCTTCTGTGACTAGAGAACATCCTCAGGCTGAGAGATGCAGGAAGACATCAGCATGTACAGAAACTGTCCGCAAGTGACCCCCCGCAAAGATAAGCCGAAGATATATGGGCAGGTACTAATCACCTCACTACCATAAAAATCTCTGTCCTTCTGTGTACTTGTTTTAATTGATATATCCCAAAGCTCTAGAAAAGACCCTGTCACATAGTAGGTACACAAAAAAATCTGTGTTGAATATTGTTGAAGAAATAAAAGGTCAAAAAAGAAATCACATGAAATGAGAAAATGCTTATAACTAAACAAAAGAGAAAATTCCCACATATTGTAACTTGTGAGATACAGCTAAAATGGTACTTTGAGATAAATGGGTAGTCAGAAATGATTATATTACTAAATAAGAATGGCTAAAAACTAATACAGTAGTCTAAGCATTCAATTTAAGTCATCAAAAAAGAACGATATAGGGATAAATTAGGAATTTGGGATTAACAGATACACACTACTATATATATAAAACAGATAAATAACAAGGGCCTACTGTACAGCACAGGAAGCTATATTCAATATCTTGATATATGTGTGTGTGTGTATATATATATATTTATATATACATATATCTGAATCACTTTACTGTAACCTGAAACATTACAAATCAACTATACTTCAATTTTAAAAAAAGAACAATATAATAAGCTCAAAGAAATTCAAATAAAGACGATAAGGACAAAGATTAATTTAAATAGACAATAAAGGTATAATAAAGAAAACTAAATAAGCCATAAGTTGGTTTTTTAAAAAGAATACTAAACTGACAATCTTAGCAATATTAATCAAGGGAAAAAAAGAAAGAGAAAGAGAAAGCACAATTAAACTAAAATGTGATTAAAATAAGAACACACTACAGATGCAACAGAGAATGAAAATGTAAAAGAATATTAACACTATACCAATCTGAAAATTCCTCTAACAAAATGAATTTAATCAGTAATTGAGCATCTTCATACCCAGATGGCTTTACAGGCAAGTTTCTACCAAATGTTCAAAGAACAAACCATTCTAATTTTGTGCAAACTTTTCTAAAGATTACAAAGGAGGGAATTGTTTAAAGAGGCTATTCGGTTAGTTATTGCTGCAATAATGTTTAGTATTTGGTAACCAAATGTGACTGTGTGATATTAGCACAGGAAGAGAAAAACAGATCAACAGAATGCAGCAGACAGTCCAAGGACATACGCATATGTTCTATACATATGTACAAACATCATATGTGATAGAAATAGAGGAACAGGAAGGACCAGGCAGTAAATTGTGCTGGAACAAATGGTTTTTCATATGGAAAAAAATAAAATTGAAGGATATAAACAAAAAGGGGAAAACCTGAAAATTTTCTGGAAGAAAACATAGGTGAATTTCTTTAGGAACTCCAGACAAGGAAGAATTTTTTTTAATAGGACAAAGCAGTGTGGATCCCGAAGGAAAAGATTGACAAATTCAACTACTTTAAAATTAAGGAGAAGTGATTTGCAACACATACAATCCAGGCAAGAAATTTAGTGACTGCCTATTGAGAAATGAACAAAGGTATAAATGGCTACAGCTTTCTTAGCAAGAGAAATAAAATTAAGCCCCACCATATACTTGGAAGCTGATGTTTTGATTTGTTGACATAAAATCCTTTGGACAATCATACTCTATCTTCAAACACTGTGTTCCTTTGCTGTTTTAGTATTTCTCATTATGTTGGGGATCAAATTTTAGCAGCACTTAATTTCACTTTTATCAAGGAAAGTATCATCTCAGCTGAACTGATATGAGTAACCTGGTTAACTAGGGGTAGAGGAAATAGAACTCATATGAGGGCACATAGAAAGTCCTGTGCCCTCAAATGTAACTGTGTTTTCATTATAGAGAGGGGAAAGATTTAAAGAATTAAGCCTATGGGATCAGTTCATTCATTCATCCAAAAAAGATTTATCAAGTCTAAGTACTATTAAGCCAAGTGCTATTCCAAGCACTTAGGATACATTAGTGAACCAAACAAAGATACCTGCCCTCAGGTAGCTCTTTCTAGCTGAGGAAAACGGATGTTAAATAACAAACATAAAAAATAACTGAACCACATAGAATATAATATAATAAAGTGCTCTGTGCCTATGGGGAAAAAACTAGAATAGGGTGAGGGAGATTGGGATTGCGAGATTTGGGTAGGAATAAGACTGGTGGTCAGTCCATTGAGAAGGTGATGCAAAATACTTGATCAAAGTTTCAGTCTTTAAAAGTAGATCATTCACTGAATAGCCAAAAACACATGGATATGTTAAGACAGGTGTTTTATCATAAGAATTGTGCCAATAGATACACATCTGGGGGAATTCCCTGGCGGTCAAGTGCTTAGGACTCTGCACTTTCACTGCAGGGGGCACGGCTTCGATCTCTGGTAAGGGAATTAAGATCCCATATGCTGAGCTCTACCCACCACCAGTCCCTCCCATCAGGAAACTTGCACAAGCCTCTTAGATAGCCTCATCCACCAGAGGGAAGACAGCAGAAGCAAGAAAAACTACAATCCTGCAGCCTGTGGAACGACAACCACATTCACAGAAAGATAGACAAGATGAAAAGGCAGAGGGCTATGTACCAGATGAAGGAACAAGATAAAACCCCAGAGAAACAACTAAATGAAGTGGAGATAGGCAGCATCCCAGAAAAAGAATTCAGAATGATGATAGTGAAGATGATCCAGAACCTTGGAAAAACAAGGGAGGCAAAGATCGAGAAGATGCAAGAAATGTTTAACAAAGACCTAGACGAATTAAAGAACAAACAAACAGAGATGAACAATACAATAACTGAAATGAACACTACACTAGAAAGAATCAACAGCAGAATAACTGGGACAGAAGAATGGATAAGTGACCTGGAAGACAGAATGGTGGAATTCACTGCTGTGAAAAAGAATAAAGAAAAAAGAATGAAAAGAAATGAAGACAGCCTGAGAGACCTCTGGGACAACAGTAAACGCAACAACATTCGCATTATAGGGGTCCCAGAAGGAGAAGACAGAGAGAAAGGACCCGAGAAAATATTTGAAGAGATTATAGTTGAAAACTTCCCTAACCTGGGAAAGGAAAGAGCCACCCAAGTCCAGGAAGCGCAGCGAGTCCCATACGGGATAAACCCAAGGAGAAACACGCCAAGACACACAGTAATCAAATTGGCAAAAATTAAACACAAAGAAAAATTATTGAAAGCAGCAAGGGAAAAACGACAACATACAATGGAACTCCCATAAAGTTAACAGCTGATTTCTCAGCAGGAACTCTACAAGCCAGAAGGGAGTGGCATGACATATTTAAAGTGATGAAACAAGACCCATATATATGCTGTCTACAAGACACCCACTTCAGATCTAGGGACACATTCAGACTGAAAGTAAAGGGATGGAAAAAGATATTCCATGCAAATGAAAATCAGAAGAAAGCTGGAGTAGCAATACTCATACCAGATAAAATAGACTTTAAAATAAAGAATGTTATGGGAGACAAGGAAGGACACTACATAATGATCAAAGGATCAATCCAAGAATAAGATATAACAATTATAAATATATATGCACCCAACATAGGAGCACCTCAATACATAAGCAACTGCTAACAGCTTTAAAAGAGGAAATCGACAGTAACACAACCATAGTGGGGGACTTTAACACCTCACTTACACCAATGGACAGATCATCCAAAATGAAAATAAATAAGGAAACAGAAGCTTTAAATGACATAATAGACCAGATAGATTTAATTGATATTTATAGGACATTCCATCCAAAAACAGCAGATTACACTTTCTTCTCAAGTGTGCACAGAACATTCTCCAGGATAGATCACATCCTGGGTCAAATATCAAGCCTCAGTAAATTTCAGAAAATTGAAATCATGTCAAGCATCTTTTCTGACCACAATGCTATGAGATTAGAAATGAATTACAGGGAAAAAAACGTAAAAAGCACAAACACATGGAGGCTAAACAATACGTTACTAAATAACCAAGAGATCACTGAAGAAATCAAAGAGGAAATCAAAACATACCTAGATACAAATGACAATGAAAACACGATGATCCGAAACCTATGGGATGCCGCAAAAGCAGTTCTAAGAGGGAAGTTTATAGCTATACAAGCCTACCTCAAGAAACAAGAAAAATCTCAAATAAACAATCTAACCTTACACCTAAAGGAACTAGAGAAAGAAGAACAAACAAAACCCAAAGTTAGTGGAAGGAAAGAAATCATAAAGATCAGAGCAGAAATAAATGAAATAGAAACAAAGAAAACAATAGCAAAGCAATAAAATGAAAACCTGGTTCTTTGAGAAGATAAACAAAATTGATAAACCATTAGCCAGACTCACCAAGAAAAAGAGGGAGAGGACACAAATCAATAAAATTAGAAATGAAAAAGGAGAAGTTACAACAGACACCGCAGAAATACAAAGCACCCTAAGAGACTACTACAAGCAACTCTATGCCAACAAAATAGACAACCTGGAAGAAATGGACAAATTCCTAGAAAGGTATAACCTTCCAAGACTGAACCAGGAAGAAATAGAAAATATGAAAAGACCAATCACAAGTAATGAAATTGAAACTGTGATTAAAAATCTTCCAACAAACAAAAGTCCAGGACCAGATAGTTTCACAGGTGAATTCTATCTAACATTTAGAGAAGAGCTAACACCCATCCTTCTAAAACTCCACTAAAAAATTGCAGAGGAAGGAACACTCCCAAACTCATTCTATAAGGCACCATCTCCCTGATACCAAAACCAGACAAAGATACTACAAAAAACGAAAATTACAGACCAATATCACTGATGACTATAGATGCAAAAGTCCTCAATAAAATACTAGCAAACAGAATCCAACAACACATTAAAAGGATCATACACCGTGATCAAGTGGGATTTATCCCAGGGATGCAAGGATTCTTCAGTATACGTGAATCAATCGATGTGATACACCATATTAACAAATTGAAGAAGAAAAACCATAGGATCATCTCAATATATGCAGAGAAAGCTTTTGACAAAATTCAACACCCATTTATGATAAAAACTCTAGAGAAAGTGGGCATAGAGGGAACCTACCTCAACATAATAAAGGCAATATATGACAAACTCACAGCAAACATTCTCAATGGTGAAAAACTGAAAGCATTTCCTCTAAGATTAGGAATAAGACAAGGATGTCCACTCTCACAACTATTATTCAACATAGTTTTGGAAGTCCTAACCACGGCAATCAGAGGAGAAAAAGAAATAAAAGGAATCCAAATTGGAAAAGAAGAAGTAAAACTGTCACTGTTTGCAGATGACATGATACTATACATAGAGAATCCTAAAAATGCCACCAGAAAACTACTACCGCTAATCAATGAATTTGGTAAACTTGCAGGATACAAAATTAATGCACAGAAATCTCTTGCATTCCTATACACTAATGATGAAAAATCTGAAAGAGAAATTAAGGAAACACTCCCATTTACCATTGCAACAAAAAGGATAAAACACCTAGGAATAAACTTACCTAGGGAGAAAAAAGACCTGTAATGCAGAAAACTATAAGACACTAATGAAAGAAATTAAAGATGATACCAACAGATGGAGAGATATACCATGTTCTTGGATTGGAAGAATCAATATTGTGAAAATGACTATACTACCCAAAGCAATCTACAGATTCAGTGCAACCCCTATCAAATTACCAATGGCATTTTTTATGGAACTAGAACAAAAAATCTTAAAATTTGTATGGAGACACAAAAGACCCCGAACAGCCAAAGCAGTCTTGAGGGGAAAAAACAGAGCTGGAGGAATCAGACTCCCTGACTTCAGACTATACTACAAAGCTACAGTAATCAAGACAATATGGTACTGGCACAAAAACAGAAACACAGATCAATGGAAAAAGATAGAAAGCGCAGAGATAAACCCATGCACCTATGGTCAACTAATCTATGACAAAGGAAGCAAGGATATACAATGGAGAAAAGACAGTCTCTTCAATAAGTGGTGCTGAGAAAACTGGACAGCTACATATAAAAGAATGAAATTAGAACACTCCCTAACACCATACACAAAAATAAACACAAAATGGATCCGAGATCTAAATGTAAGACCGGACACTATAAAACTCTGAGAGGAAAACATAGGAAGAACACTCTTTGACATAAATCACAGCAAGATCTTTTTTGCTCCACCTCCTAAGAGTAATGGAAATAAAAACAAAAATAAACAAATGGGATCTAATGAAACTTCAAAGCTTTTGCACAGCAAAGGAAACCATAAACAAGACAAAAAGACAACCCTCACAATGTGAGAAAATATTTGCAAATGAATCAACAGAGGATTAATCTCCAAAATATATAAACAGCTCATGCAGCTCAATATTAAAAAAGCAAACAACCCAATCTAAAAATGAGCAGAAGACCTAAATAGAAATTTCTCCAAAGAAGACATACAGATGGCCAAGAAGCACATGAAAAGATGCTCAACATCACTAATTATTAGAGAAATGCAAATCAAAACTACAGTGAGGTATCACCTCACACCAGTTAGAATGGGCATCATCAGAAAATCTACAAACAACAAATGCTGGAGAGGGTGTGAGAAAAGGGAACCCTCTTGCACTGCTGGTGGGAATGTAAATTGATACAGCCACTATGGAGAACGGTATGAAGGTTCCTTAAAAAACTAAAAATAGAATTACCATATAATCCAGCAATCCCAATACTGGGCATATACCCAGAGAAAACCATAATTCAAAAAGACACATGCACCCCAATGTTCACTGCAGTACTATTTACAATAGCCAGGTCATGGAAGCAACCTAAGTGCCCATCAACAGACGAATGGATAAAGAAGTTGTGGTACCTATGTACAATGGAATATTACTCAGTCATAAAAAGAAACAAAATTGAGTTATTTGTTGAGATGTGGATGGATCTAGAGACTGTCATACAGAGTGAAGTAAGTCAGAAAGAGAAAAACAAATACCGTATATTAACGCATGTATGTGTAACCTGGAAAAATGGTACAGATGAACCGGTTTGCAGGGAAGAAGTTGAGACACAGATGTAGAGAACAAATGTATGGACACCAAGGGGGGAAAGCCACGGGGGGGCTGGGGATGGTGGTGTGCTGAATTGGGCGATTGGGATTGACATGCATACACTGATGTGTATAAAATTGATGACTAATAAGAACCTGCTGTATAAAAACCTAAATAAAGTTAAATTAAAAAATTTTTTTTAAAAATCCCATATGCCCTGCGGCCAAAAAAAAAGAAAAATACCTATCTACGTATATTTATTTCCTCTCAATAGAAACATAGTTTTGCTATTAAGCATTTTGATCTAAATGCTCTTTTTAGGGGTTGTATCTTTAATCTGCTATTTTCAACCTGATTTTTTACTAACGGTTACTTGTTACATAATGGACTGACTAGATATGAAATTTTAGTATCAGTTATTAACATCTGACTCTTAGAAAATGTGCTATGCAGAAGTAGGTGACATAATTATTCAACCTACACACTGAACCTCTACTGTGTGCCATGCTAGATACAGCAGTTTTAAACATACAACCAGTGACCTCAAAGAGCTTGTAGTCTCGTACCATTAATTGTTGATATTTATTAATATGCCATATTTATTACTGTGCCAGGCACTGATCCAAGGGCTTTATGTATTAACTCACCTAGCCTTCATGACAAGATTATGAGGCATAACCTTTCTTTATTTAGATGAGGAAACTAAGGCCCAGAGTAGTTCAGTGACTTGCTCAAAGCAACCAAGCTAGTTAACTAAAAAGCCAAGATATGAACCCAGGCAGTGTGACTCTAGAGCTTGCCCTCCCATAAGGTCTAAGAGGATATGAATCATACACTGTTAGCATCTTAGCATTTTACTCAGCACTGGTCCTGCAGCAGAGGTGGTAAAAGATCGGAAGAACTTCAAGCAACTTCAAGCAGAAGCAAGGAGCCTGGTGCTCTGCCACCACCCACCAGGCATGATTCACACAGGCCGGAACCCAGTCCATTCTAGTACTCTCCTTTCCACTACAGGCAAAGTCCCCACGCTTTCTGCCATCAATGTTATTTAAGTTATGAAATTACATTTTGCTAAGTATTATGACTTTCGCTTTCTTTGCACATTTACACAGTTTTTATTTTTCTTTTTAGAAGTGTTTTCAATTAAAATTCTCCTGGGCATGAGTACTTTATGTAGTCAGTGAACTATCTCATACACAGTTAAGAAATTTCCCTTGGTAATACTGTTTCAATATTTTTAATAAGAACTAATAACGTGGCTGTAAAGTTCAAACAGCTTTAGGGGAAAAGAAATGCACTAGAATGTGTGTTCTAAGATTAACATGTAAACCCTATTGATCTACCTACCAAATAATAAATTAGTACTTTTTTTAAATCGCAGAGCAGAACATGATTAAAGATTATTAAGCCTTGGATAAGTGACTTACAGAAATAATAAATTAAAACCATCTATTAAGTTGACATTATCCTGTTCTTTTTTACAATCTGCTGTTTAAACTCTGTTACTTAGTTGCTGCTCCATAGAAGAAAATCTCCTATGAGGAGAGATTCCAAGGTGCCACATTTGTCATAGATATTTGTGTGTTATTCAACACTCGTCATCAGATTGATATGAGACAAAACTGCAAGCAATACTTTTAAAATAAGCTGCATATACTATTTTTTCAAGAGTGCATTACTTATATTTTCAGAGTGATATCCAATGTGACTAGCAGTTAGACTTCTGACGATCTGAACCATCCAGGATATATCAAATTCAATAAGGGAGGCTGTCACAAAGTCCAGGCACTTTGCCCCATAGGTGAGATGTGTCCCCCAAGCAACTTTTTTGGGGAAGAAAACAAGGAAGTATTAGAAGCCAGCGTCCTGAGAAGGCAAAAACAACTGAAGAAAAAGGACAATAAAATAACAGGCTTGCAGTGTAGAGTCACATTGGATAGGCATTGACAACCATAATGTTTTTTAAGGATCTCACAATACAATAATTAACATTGATGATAATACACCCTAACCATCAAGAAGTGGTTAAATTATACTCATTATTCACTGTTTACCAAGAGGTGAGGATGTTACAATCTCTAGTTGAATGGTTGGAAATGTTTAAAAACTGGAGGGCTTCAGAGTGTGGTAAGCTCATGTGGATCGTTCCCCCCAAGATGAAGCTGTTTAGGATATCAAGGGGACTTGGTGAAGATGCTAATTAAGAATCCAACAACCTGGGTCCTCGTTTCTGCCACTTACTTTGGGCAGAGTCCCAGAGTCCCTTGCTTGTCATCTGCAAGAGTATACGAGCACCAGTCCTCTCCGCCAAACAAGATATTTGTGAGGATTAAGAGTTTTTTACATGAGAACACTGTCAAAATTAGAAACAGCTTCCTCAATACTAGACATTATTATTACCGAATAAGTTGTGATGAAACATCTATCCCTAACATTCTTCACTAGATCAATCTACTGACATCTCATTTCTATTTGAAGATCATATGACTAGTTGAGTACTTGAGTAACACTGATCCAGCCAATGGTAACACAGCACACAGGAGTTGGCTCCAGCGCTGCCCACACATTTATAGAATTTATTAAAAGCAATTTGCTCAGCCCTATATTAGAATTTGGACAACTTAAACCACTGTCCTTTGCTATAATAAATCCAAAATGAATTCATAAATTTTTCATCATTGAATACCAGCAGTTATGAGATAATCCATTTGCTTAACATTTTTAAATGAAAATTCAAAAGTGAAAGGAATTCATTGCCATCCTTCCCCAACCTCAGTTCTCTCCCTCATTCTCCTCCACTTAATCCTATAACCCTTTATGACAACAAAAGATCTCATGTTGAGCGTGCTCTCACTGTGAGGCATTCCTACTGAGAATCACTGAAAGAAGGTACTGGAAATGCAGAATGGAAACCAGACATAGGGCAGATAGCAGGAAGGAGTGGAGGGTTCTGTGGGGAAGCCGTAGGGCAGTGAGGGCAGCTGGGGGAACTTAAATCCGGACCTCATGTTGGAGCTCTGAAGAGGTCTGTGACGAAGGAGGGGGTGAAGAGTGGTACATGCTTGTACCACTTTTCTATTGCCGCCATAATAAATTACCACAAATTTAGTGGCTTAAAAACATACATTTATAACCTTACAGTTCTGTAGGTTAACAAGTCTGACACAGATCTCACGGGGCTAAAATCAAGGTGCCAAGCTGCTTTCTGCAAGCTCTAGGATCCTTGCCTTCTCCAGCCTCTACAGGTCACCCACATCCATTGACTCATGGCCTCTTCCTCCATCTTTAAAGCCAGAAATGGCAGGTCAAGTACCTCTCACATCGCATCATTCTGACATCCTCTTTTGCTTCTGCTTCTTTTCCAAATTTAAGGACTCTTGTGATTAGACTGGGTCCACCCACATAAGCCAGAATACTCTCTGCATCTCAGCTTCAATCACATCTGAAAAGTCCCTTTTGCCATGTAATACAACACAGTCCCAGGTTCCAAGGTATAGGACTTGGACACCTTTGGGGCTGGGGAGAGACATCATCTGCCTACCATAGTGCTGTAGGTAAGAAGTGATTTGGCACGAAGTTATCATTGTTTTCTCTCACTCTTGCTCCCCTCAGTCAGCTTTCCACAGCAGTCAAAGAGCTTGCAAACACATTTCCAGTGTGACTCTCCCCTGCTTGCTCAGACTCCTTCAGTGGCTTCTTGTCTTTCTGAATAAAACCCACACTCATTATCACAGGCCACAAAGGTCAACATAATTTAGGCCAGTATATCTGAAACTTTTTGCACTGGTACTTATAGTAAGAAATTCATTTTTAAATCATAACTTAGCACATACACACATGCATCTACATGTATTTAATTCCACAGACAAATACTCACCCTTACTATATACTATGCATCCTGATACTTTCAATTCTGATCTGTTCTTTTTTTTTTTCATTTATTTCCAATGCTGCTTGCAACCCACTAATGAACTGTGACTTTGGGTTTGGAACATAATGATCTGGCCCTTCCTCCAACTCCTGGCATTGTGTCACATTCTCTCAGAAGTAGACACACTGACCTCCTACCTCATGAGAACCTCGGATGGAAATATTTTCCCTGGAACTTCTCAGGGTCTGCTCCCTTACCTCATCTGGGTGTCCACTCAGTTGTCCCTTTCGCCAGGAGGCCTCCCCTGACCACCCCCTGTCTAATAATCCTTCTCCCCACCCCCAGCACCAGTTTCCATCCCTGATTTTGCTTTAGTTTTTCTTCACTATACTTACTATGACTTTGCATATGATGTCTTTGTTTCTTCTCTCCCGCTAGACTGAAAGGTCCACTAGGACTGTCTTATATACTGACATAATCCTAGTGCTTGCACTAGGGCCTCCTAAAACAGAGGAAAAACTCCAAAATTAGTTATAGAACGAATAAATAAAATATGAGTGAATCAATAAATAAACTGGTAGATCTAAGATTATATGGGTTATTGGAAGAAATTATTAGTAAGTATTACTACACTATAACTTATATAATTAACTATAAACATTGGTAATTATCCTTTACTGATTATCTATATTATGCCAGTCACCACGCAGAGCACCTTAACTTAGTTATTTCTAGTTGTCACACAGCTCTATGAGGTACTTATTTTTACAAATGGGGAAAATGAAGCTGGGAGAAGTTAGGTTTCTGGTCCAGGGTTAATACGGTCTGAAACAATAGCCAATTTTTATCATACTTAACATTTCCTGACAGGCATTGTCCTAAGCATTTTACATGGGGGCACTGTTATTATTCTCATTTTACAGACTATTGTTGAGAATACTAATCTGTAATACCCCAGTTTTATAGATTGGGAAATCCAGGCACAGAACTTGACCTACTCAAAGTCAAACAACTAGTAAGTGATGACCCCAGCAATCCAGTGCAAGCCATCTGGGGCCAGAGTCAGTGCTCACAGCCTATACACTCTTGCTGCTCAAAGTAAGGTCCAAGTGGCAGCAGCAGAAGCATCATTTGGGAACTTACTAAATATGCAGGATTTCATGTCCCTCCCCAAGTCTGCATTCCAGTAAGAACGCCAGGTGATTCACAGACACAATAAGGTTGAAAAACTCTGCTCTAAACATACTGCCTCTCAGGCAGGCAAACAGAGTTGGACAGAAATAATTTTATGACAGTAGGACTAGAATATAAATAATATTTTAACTGGAAGTATTACTTACAATTTTACATGAATTTAACAGAAGTATAATGATCTGAAATAAAACTAAAGGAAATTGCTGAACTTCAGACAAATGACTATTTACCCCCAAATATTATATTCCTTTAGGGGGAAAAAAAAGATTATGAAGTACATTAAGAGATTGGACCCCATTGTATTTTCCTTATCCTTAACCTCATGTTTCAGCTTTAGATCATATCAAATGACTCCCTGCCATGGAGGATGAAATGTTAAAAATTGCTCCCTTCTTCCCTCCTTCCTTCTCTTTTCCCTACATCCACATTTATCTTGGTATTTTACTGCTTTTCTGCACTAAAATATGTAACATTTCCATTCTATTGCACAACGATAATCCCCTAGTTATTTAATCTTAAGTCAATATTTCTTTGGATTCAATGATCCTGCGTGTGTCTTTGCCATAGCTTCTCCATTTCTGAGTCTGATATTTTGATTCACCCTTTGAGTGGCTGGGGTTTTTTTGTTTGGTTTGGTTTTTGTCAAGGAGTGCTTTTTCAAAGGAATCACAGGTATCGTAGTCCATAAATTCTTTTATCTTTAAGAATGTTTACCTGCTACCTTTATAAATGAATGAAAACTTGGCCACACATTCAGAACTCTGTAGACGCTGCTCTGTTGTCTCCTACCATCATATTCGGGAAGAAGTCTGAAGCTATTCCAAGCATTGACCTCTTAGAGGTGCATTACTTCTTCTCTCCAAGACTACTTCTTTTTTTTAACTTATGTTTTTTAATCTTTGACAATTTTGACATAATGCATAACTTAAGTAGACTATATCTAGATCTAGATAGCAATATTTGCCCCCCCCACACCAGGTATAGTCTTTTCAACATGGTCATTTGGTTCTTTTTTTATTTTAGGAGAGTCTTTTTGAATTATTGCTCAAAAACACTTTTTCTCTTCCATGTGTTAGTTTCTCTCTTTTAGGGGCATAACTCCTGTTAGGAATCCTTTGTCCACCATAGAGGGCCCCTCCTCTCTAATTGTTTTTTTAATTTATTATCTTTATTTTCATATTCACGGAAACTAACTCAAGCTTCTCCTTCATGCTAGTGATTTGACTTGAACCTTTGTCTATTCTGTCATTGCCGTTTGAAGTTTATTGGTTATCTGTAATGGAATTGTGTTGGCACTACAATCACTCCTTTCCTCTAATTCTACTGATTTAACATAACACCTTGGGGCTCTTGTTTTATCAAATCTATATCCTTATTAGGTTTTTCCAGAGCGTGAAGCACACGTATAGCATATTCTTCTTTTCCTTGTGTTATGCTTAATTTCAGACTCTCTTCAGCTGTGTTTTACATGTTATGTTCTGGCTAGTTGGTTGGTTTCTTTTGGCTATTTTATATTGGTATTGTTGTCCTGCCATCTCTTGTGCTCAACCTAAGCGTCCAATAATTCAGTGTAGAAATTTCTTTGATACCCATCCCATTGCATCTAGAACCTGCTTTTCTCTCCCTCTCCAAGCTACAATTTGAGGGCTGGGTGTTTATAATATTTCTTTTTCTACGGGATGAGCAGGAGTTGAGGTGTGGGAGAATGAATCCAAGCTAAATGCAGTCTTTAATGAGGTACCAGCACTGAACTCTTTAGAATGTCTTTGCAAGAGTGGCTGAAGGATGAGTCTATGGAACTTTAGTTACTTTCCATGAACTTACCCACCATCTAATAAAAGAGACTACAAGTCCCCACTTGACCCTGCTTTGGTGGTTTCTGTACCATACTTCGTTATGTCACAGCTTCCTTCCTTAGCTGCACTGGATCAGATTGGAGACCAGGGAATTAGAAACCCATTCATCTTTGAAATATTTTCAGAGAAAACTATCAATAGGGAGGCACAGGGCTAACAAAATAGCCCAATCACATCATCTCTCTGAAGAAGTATAAAAAGTGGTTCCTTAGTGCAAATCAGAACTACGAGGCACCACCTCACACCAGTCAGAATGGCCATCATTAAAAAGTCTACAAATAACAAATGCTGGAGGGTGTGGAGAAAAGGGAACCCTCCTACACTGTTGGCGGGAATGTAAATTGGTGCAGCCACTATGGAAAACAGTATGGAAGTTCCTCCAAAAACTAAAAATAGAGTTGCAGTATGGTCCAGCAATCCCACTTCTGGGCATATATCCAGATAAAACTATAATTCAAAAAGATACATGCACCCCTATGTTCATAGCAGCACTATTTACAATAGTCAAGACATGGAAGCAATCTAAAGTCCATTGACAGATGAATGGATAAAGAAGATGTGGTACATATATACAATGGAATACTACCCTGCCATAAAAAAGAATGAAATAATGCCATTTGCAGCAACATGAATGGAACTAGAGATTATCATACTAAGTGAAATAAATTGGAAAGAGAAAGACAAATACCATATGATATGACTTATATGTGGAATCTAAAATATGACACAAATGAACTTATTTACAAAACATACTCACAGACATAGAGAACAGACCTGTGGCTGCCAAGGGGGGCGGGGGAGGGCTGGGTTGGAATTAGAAGATGCAAACTATTATATACAGAATGGATAAAAAACAAGGTCCTACTGTGTAGCACAAGGAACTATATTCAACAACCTGTAATAAACCATAATGGAAAATAATATGAAAAAAATATATATATATATATCTGAATCACTTTACTGTACACCAAAAACTAACACAACACTGTAAATCAACTATATTTCAATAAAAAATAGTTAAAAATTTAAAAGTCATCATTTTAAGAAACCATAATCATTCAGTGTTGTTGGACTGTGAGAGGAAACGGGCAGGGGCAGGTACCGGCTATGCTGAGCTATTTGACTTTTACCCTGCACTGACCAGGAGCCATTGAAAGGTTTTAAGCAAAGGAATGACACAGTTCTACTTGTACTTTAAACAGATTACTCTAGAAATAGTGTGCAGGATAGATCTGAGATGGTCAAAGTCTACTGGGAAGCTGGAGAAGAAACAAAGAATTCAAAAGTTATTTAGAGGTAAAACAAGGAGGAGTAGGTAAATGGATTAGCTCAGAGTATCAGGATCCTAGCTCTAAGAATCAATATTTACTTTACGATCTGGCAATACCCAAGGAAGGAAACTGGGGCACATGTAGATCCCAGGAGCTCATTCTATATTACCGACAGGAGGAAAACAACATGAGGATCAAACAGTAATAAGTGGACCTTAAGACTGAAAGTCAAGGAAAAGTTCATTCCAAACCCTATCAGAAGACATATCAAAATGATTCACATAAAGCCTGCCCTCTGTCCAGGGCTGGAGTAGGTCTGAGTTTGTTTCTAAGGACTATTATTTGATTTTGTTTCCATGGAATGGGAGAGGAAGAGGTAGGGAGAGACCAGAAAAAACAAAACAGAAAATGACAAAAAGCTTCCTTTAAGACCCTTTAAAAATACATCCCTTAATTGGCATCTGATTTTTATATCACCATGACATCATCTTGCCATTTGCCTTGGTGACTCAGTGGTAGATTTCATTCTTCTCCAAGAGGTTCTCCAACTTTTTTCCTGGCAACACACTAATGGGAAGAACATGGGCTCTGGGGTTCAGAATACCTGGCATTCAGTCCTGGCTCTACCACAGATTAGCAACATGATCTAGAGGCCAAGCCACTTCTCCCCCTCTACATCTCTGTTCCCTTACTAGGAAAACACAAACTCAAAGTGGTTTCTGAGGACTAACTGACGTGATGTATGTTACAGGGCCTAGTACAGAGCCTGGCACATAATAGGTGCTCTATGAAAGTTTGTTTAACTTAGCTCAAGTTTATGATGCATGTGGAATAGAGAGGGGTGGGAGATGAAGAAGGAGCACACACACAAAAAATGTGTATGTCAAACTAAGGCATTAATGGGGAGACATTTAAGAAGGGAAGAAATACAGATTTGTTTGCAGGAGCCAAGTTAGAGCAAGTTAATCAGTTAGGAAATATATGTGATAACCTAAGTAAGAAATAATGAACTCAGGCAGGGCAGTGGTAGAAAGACTAAAAAGAGAGAATAATTTTCTTACATATTTAGGAAATTATTGATTAGCAGTGGTAATGAAAAAGAAAGGGGAGACTAGGATAACTCTAGTTTCTAGCCTGAAAGACAATCCATGGTCCTATTCAAAAGACAAGGAACACAGGAGGAATAGTAAGCATAAAGATGAAGACAAGGAACTTACTCATTGCGCATCCACTTATTGAATGATTCCTATCATTCAACAAATATTGTGGAATGTCTGAAATATCAGAACACGGGGCATTCAGCAAGGAACCTACAAAGATGATCCTTCCCCGCATGGAGCTTAGATTCCAGCAAGAGAGTTAACTAGATAAAAGCATTCAAGGAAAGTGATCCAGGAAGAAAGAAGTGTATGTGAAAATCAAATCACCTTCACAGAAGTAAGGGAGTTCTCAGGCTGAAGTGAAGAGAGTATGGTACGTGGTGAGGATGGAGGTGTTTCCAGATCATGCAGGTCCTGGTGGACCATTTCAAGAATGTGGGCTTTATCTCTACAGTTGTTGAGGTCACTGATGAGTTTTGAACAGTAAATTGATATATGGTCAGACTCACATTTGGAATTTTCATTCTAACTGCAGTATAGAGAATGCTTTAAAGATATATACTTGTCAGACTAGAAGTTCTGAAAAGCCCACCTGCTACAGAAAATCCAGATGTTGGATAAAATAATGCAAACATAAGTTTAAATGCATTGCTGGGCTAACAAGAAAGAAACAGAAATCCCCAAAGCTCATGAAAAATAATAACATGCTGAAACCAGAATGGTAGGCAAACTCTAAAGCCAGAGACACCCTGGGATTAAATGTTAATACCACAAAACTAGAATTTGGGGGACTAATGGCTGTGTGGGAGAACAGGAGCTTAAACCTTTTACCCACTGAAAGAAGGGCATTAAGTTAGGACATTTAAAAGATCTACACTCAGTGAAAAAGTAAGCTAGAAGAAAATCCATTTGCTTTCAGAGGAAGAGATAAGGATACCTATTTAACTCTATTGCAGCTCTAGGTGGAGTAAACTATAGTTTTCAAAAATAGTAAAAAACGATGGTACTGATATCTTACTTTAAAGTTTGATGTGCTACAAAACAGAAATAGACTCACAGACATACAAACAAACTTATGGTTACCAAAGGAGATTGTGGGGGGTGGGAGGGCAGGGGGGGAAATAAATTAGAAATTTGGCATTAACATACACACACTACTATATATAAAACAGAGGAACAATAAGGACCTACTCCATAGCACAGGGAACTTATTCAATATCTTGTAATGACCTGTAGTGGAAAAGAATCTGAAAAAGAATATACATATAAAACTGTGTATAACTGAATTACTTTGCTGCACATCTGAAACTAACACAACATTGTAAATGAACTGTACTTCAATTTTTAAATGGTTACATAAATTTTTTTTTAAAGAATGACTTTAGTCACATACACACAAAAAAAGTCTGATGTGCATCACCTTTATTTTCTAGTCCAAAGAGATAGTGAAAATCTCTTAGTAAAGTTCTTATGCTACTCTTTTGGCATAAATTATGTTACCTGAAAATTTATCACTAAAATAATATGAATTTTTTCCAAAAATCTTCCAAGAAGCACAAGGACTTCTGGGCAACATATAACATTGATGATAATATCTAATATTCGTTACATGTCTCATAGTTTACAAAATGCTTTCAGAAACAAGAGACACCACTATTCTCTCTTCTGGGAAGGCCTGATTATCCAGCTTCACCCCCTTAAAGAGCTCACACATGGCCTCCTCTGCATGTTGACTCCCAGAGTAATTGCGGATGAATGACTAAGTCAACCACACCTCCTTTTCTTGGATTTCTTGTGTAGATTAGCCATTCCATCTCTTCTCTTTAAAGGCAATTTCCTTTTATATGTCTATCTCTCTATTCCAGTGTTAAAGAAAACGGATGTTTCCACAACTTATAAGTTATATGACTCTGTGGAAGTTACTGACCCTCATTTTCTTCATCTGTAAAACTGGAAACAGAAACACCTACCTTGGGATTACTCTGAGGGCCAAAAACACAGAAATTTGTTTACTCATACATGGATTTTATTATGCTTTATGCTTCCTTAGCATCCTTGAACTTATCCATTACACAAAAGGAGAAAAGCCCTTGCATAGGATCACCATTGTAGGTTTAGGTACATTGTTTACAGTTTCCATATAAATGGGGTTGTTGCTTTTGAGGGATTTTAGTTACTATTTTAATATCTTTTTATTTTTAAAAATGATAATTATGGTCAGAAAAACATGATCTGTATGATAGACTTCACTTTTGACCTAGTATGTAGTTAGTATTTATAAATATTAGGTCTGTATTGGAAAGAATATGTATTGTCTATATTTTTAAGGGGCAGGGATATATCTATATCTCTATATATTTATATCTGTCTATATATTAAATCAAGTTTGTTAAATGTGTTGATCAACTCTTCCGTATGTTTTTCTACTTACCTAGTTTAAAAGAAGTCTATTAAATCTCCCACTCTGGGGATTTTATCAGTTTATACTTGTATACAAGTATACATTGTATACTTCTGTACATTTTTAGTTTCTCTATTTTGAAACTACATTACAATATAGTGCATTTGCTATGCCACATTTTGGGGATAGCCTACTGGTAAACTGACTGTTTTATCTATAACTATCTTTTTTACTCCTAATATTGTCCTATGACTTCAAATCTATTTAGTTTTATGTTAATGTTGTTATACCAAGTTTCTTTCAGTTACTATTTGTCTGATATGTGCTTTTTCCATCTCGTTACTTTCTTTCAGATTTTAGCTATGTCTCATAAAGAGAAAAAATGTTTCCTTTCAATCTGAGATTTTTTCTTTCAACAAATTTAATCTATTTACAATTATCATGATTATTCATGTCTTGAACTTATTTTTTTCATCTGATTTTCCCTTATCCACAATTTGAAT